TTCATAGGATGCCAGCAGCCCAGCATGTGCACATTAGGACACAGGTAATGGTGGAATTCCTTAGCAGCATAAGATGGCTGCCATAGTTCTTCCTGCAGAACATGTGCGAGGTCAGGGCTGATGCCTTTTTAAGCAGGATAGTGGATCTAATGTTGGTCTGTATTTACTCACCTACTCTCAAAAACACCAAAGATATATACCATGTTGTGGAACAAAAGCGGGGGGAGGGGGGGGGGGTTAATAAGAGGGATAACTGATTTAAGTGAAAACCTGGAACATCTGTTTTTCATTCAGTTCATGTTTCAGACTTCAGAGACCTCAAGGCTTTACTCAGCATCTTTCCAGCTAACTTTATTAAGCCTGCTTTGTTAGATAGACCCACGCTCTGCCTTTTTTCCTGTCTAGATGCTGCGTCAAGACTACCTCATCAATCTAGCTCTGGTCAGACAAAACGGTCCATTTTCCTTCCATAAAACATCATAAAATCTTTTAAGTTGCTGAGACAGGCCGAACCTCATCTCCAGGGTGCAGTTTTGTAACTACATGGGTGTAATTGCTTTGTCTGGGTTTCTTGTTATTCACAGGCAATACATAGTTAAAGGATTAAATGCGTAGGATTACTCACTAGTCTTCATGCTGTGATTCAGAGAGAGAATAACATTCCTAGTCACGACCAGTAATACCATATGGTGCAGTGCGGAATATTGTTCCCTGAAAACGAGGTGAGGCTACACGGACTGAAACATCTGCTTGTTCCTCAATCATTTTCTAAACCAGTCAAAATTAACATTTTTAAAAATTGTATATTTATAAAAACAAAAGTAATACAAATGCGCACTGGCATTTAAAAAGGAGACAAATGGGTCACTACCTACGAGCTTACCTCAGTCCCAACTCTGTCAGTTTGTTAGTGTTTTTAAAATCACGTGAAACTTTATTAAAATTTACGCGACATTGCAAAAAAAAGTATTATTTACATGTATAATTTGAATTGATTTGAGTTAACAACTTAACAATTTCCCAGCCTAATTAAATATCGTTTAAATAATGTTTATTTTACAAATATATCCACTAGTTTTCACTTTCTTGGGGTGAAATAATAGATCCAACGTAACACAGCTCTGTCACATATACTTAAAGTTACTTGTTATGATTGTTTCATACAGAACAAAACAATTTTGAAGCTTGAAAAATCCATTTCCCCGAGACATGTTGGCCACATTTCCTTTCCGAGAAGAAATAAAAATAATAAAAACTTTATAGGGACTCATTACTATTCCATACAGACGTATAAAACAATTTAAAAGGAGGTTATTTATTTATTTAGATACTTTTCACAAGCTGCAGTATTACATCTGTGGTTTTATTTCATACATGGGTACTGGCTCTATGTTGACTTTAAAGCTTATTACCCTAGCGTGACACCTGTTGAGCCATTTTCCCCTCCTATTGGGTTAGCTGTTAATCACCGATACATGACAACAATTCAGCTTTTGAACAGTAGTCAAGACAAAGAAAACACTCCTTCATGCTGAAAGACTAAATTAACCTTTCCCCTCTTTTTCTTTTGCAAGGGGAGGGTGTGATGGAGTTAAAGGATAACTTTGTTAATTGGCTTCCATCGAGTCCAAACAGGAAGTCATTAAAAAGTGCCTGAAGATTACAGGAAATGATTATCTGTAAGTTGCTGGCCATATCTTCTGAGTTTGAAAACTATGAGCATTGTAAAATCTTCATTTTAAATATCAGTACCAAGTTTAGGAATATGCACAAAAATCTGCTCATTATTCAGTGTTTTCGCCTTTGTCTTGTTTACTTAGATTCTTTAATATCGTTATCAATAAAAACTATAGACGTTATGAGGCGTTTCCTGCTTTAGGGGAGGTTTGTATGTTTGTATACTGCAGTTTTAGCCTACAGTCCCAACTAGCTCACTACCTAGCTCTAAGAAAACTAAAACCAGTTTTTTAAGACTATTTAAAAATCAGATTTCTTGGAAGAAATTCATGCTTCTTGTAGAACCCATTTCATAACAATGATCATGTAAAAAAAACGCACTGGCAGGACAGGTAATACATAATGCTTCTATCACACCATAACAATACAGTCACACAATGGGCCAAAGAATAGAAAACCGGTTTTAACTGGAAACATCAACAATGTGAAGAAATCAGAGTGCTTGTCTTCCGATGACGAAGTTTGCTCTCAGACTGCTGAGCCAACAGCAAGCCAGAAAACAATGGCTTTAAAAATAATCACTAAAATCATCAAGAAACTCTCAGAAATGATTTCATAAATGTTTAGAGAATATAATAACAGAATTTACCAAATCAGAAATTAGACATAACATGGGCACACTGTGCTCATAGCTGCAAGCCCACCTTCTTTCTTCAGGAATTAGATAAGCCCTATATTTAGATAATCAAATTGAGGTTTGTTTAAATTCCATTTGAACTGTTTATAACCCCTAATCAAGAGTACTTCAGGTTTTTGACACTCCGATATGAAAACAATGCAACAGCAAATGCAGGAAAAGAAAAAGAAAATGCAGCTTATTACTTACGTGTCCATAGTTGATGAATCCATGTTTGCTAGCAATTTGATCAGCCTCCTCCTGACCTCCAGGTACGTGGACAGCCCATGTGTTGGTGTAGACCTTCTGACCCTGTGCCGGTCCACAAACCAGCAACACCAACAGAGGCACAAGCAGCAACTCCAGCAGCCTGAACCTGGGGCCTACGGAGGGAGATGGATGGCCAGTAGCCATGGGTTCCCCTAGTGCAGCACAGTCACTGAGCACAGCGCCTCTCCAACAGGCCGGGGCTGCTCACAGTACATGCAGGTGCACGGAGCGTCAGAGAAAAGGAAAGTCACAAATCACCTGAAAAGAAAAGGCAAAAAAATAACAAAAGGTACAGTATTAAAACAAGATACCGTAAGGTTTTAAACTAACAAAAGATTTAAAGATTTAAAATCAAATTTCCACAGAACACAAGAACAAACACACGCAAGGGAAAGAGGGGAAAGTAAACAGTTTAGTTTTAACCTTATCGCCTTCCTTTATTTGGTGGGTTAAGGAACATAAAGGGGAACAAGAAAGAGATAGGCTTGGTGTGGAAGTTTACAGATTTTAAATTACACTGTAAAGTGACTGCAGAGGTGTTGCAAAGAAAACTGACCACATTAAATATGTTAATCTGATTTGTTCATCCACCCCAACAGGAGTTCTGACCACGCACGTTGCAGCCCAGCTAAACACAGCCATTTGATAATCCCACAGGAAGAGCCGGACGCCCAGCCCCAAAATGATGTTGCGGTCAGACACGCAGCGGCAAATTGTGGTGTTCACGCTCTCCTGGGAGGATACAGTAGATGCAGTTTACAAAAAGAAAAAAGAAAAAAAAATGCTGAGGTATACCGAGTTGGCAGCAGAGGTGGAGAAATGTGGTTGGAAAGCTAGACTACGCCCCAGATGCTGGGGGAATCACAGCAGAGGCAGTTTTGGTATGAGGTGCAGGATCAGCTTGAGGGACGAGTTTGAATGCCTGAAGGTAGCAGCGGCAGCCACCGAATGGCTGAGGCCAAGGACAGAACATCAAGTGTTAGAGGAGAAAAAAAAAGTTTCCGATTTGAGTGATGCCATTTCTTTGTAAAATGCTAACTGATGTGTTATCAGCCACTCATTGGAAAACATCTAACACAATCTTATGAATGAGACAAAGCAATTTATCTTATCAAGCCACAGCAGCCAGTGCGAGTCGAGAGATCTCAGCTTGCGGTGATTGTTTGCTGATACAATTTTGCGTCTGAGCTGTTGTTTAGAGTCAAGGTCAGCTGTGGCTGTTGAGACCATTATCCAAAGTGCTAACTCTGTTGTAATCTTAAGCTCACTATGCTGCACTAAATAAAGTGCTTCCATTCGGCCTTTTCATCGCATCTGTTCTGCTGTGGGATGGAGCTTTCCATCCTTTCACGGGTGTTACAGCCTCTGTGTTAGCCATTCGACAAATTAAAAGACTTGAAATTATCTCGCACTCGGAATGAACAAACGAGCGCTTCGAGATTTCCCTGAGCAGTTTGTTGTGAGGCACGCATGATGTGTTAAGAGGTGGAAGGAAAATTTAGCTGTGAACTTAGGAGTCACTTTGAGTGCATAGTGTTACCAAAGACAGATTAATATCCCACCAATCCATTCATCACAACAACAGCACACAAAACAAACATCTTTACTATATGAATATTACATATATTTACATTATCTTTGAGGTGCAGTAGGAAGCAATCTAAGTAGGAATGTTTCATCCCTGTCCTGTACCCTGTCCTTTTTCCTCCAATTCTTCCCAGGAAGACACTGCAGCATTCCCAAGCCAGGCAAGAGACAACATAATTTCTCCATCAAGTTCTGGGTCTGCCCTGGAGGTCTTGTTTCAGCTGGATATGTCAAAAATATCTCACTTGGGAGACATCCAAGGCAGATGTTCAAATCAGCTCAAGTGGCCTGACACTGGTTGTCAACTTCTCTTAGAATTCCAGGATTTTACACCAGAAAACCCCATTAATCAACAGATACGTGACCAAACTTTGTGTATCACTTAGAACTTGATACATGAGCCATCAAGAACAGCCTGATACTTCCGTCCATGCCTTAAGATAAGGGAAGACATCAGGATCCAGATTAGTTTGTTACATTTTCTTCATTAGAACATCAAGACAATGTCTTCTGGGTTTCTGATTTAACTCCTTCCAAAATTCCTGGAACAATGACCTGCATCCACACCACGGTTTAATCACTTGTAATTCGGGAAACCTTTTAGTAACACTGCGAGTAAGCCTGAGAAAACTAACCAACAAACAAACAAAATCAAATAGATTATGACCTCCTTGGTGGAAGTAAATAAACACTTTGAATGAGTATCTACTGACTATTTTGTTGTTATCAAAAGCTGATACTCTGCTGAACACTCAACACAGTTCAAGGCTGCTTCCCAGGAACCTCTGCACTGTCAAATGTCAAAACACCTCTAACACCTTTGTCCTAAATGTGCAACTTTCAGTGTGATTTTTTTTGTTAGGTTTATATCAACCATGATGTAAAAAAAAAAATGAAATAAAAATATGTGGTAGATCTCCATCACTTCAGTATTAAAGTTTCTAGAACAATGGTGGCTGTACCATTTCTCCACTGGTGGAGCTTATTGCTCAGAAACACAGAGGAAGTCTCCTGGCATAACCTCCTCTTCTGCATACGTGTCAAAACAACTTTATCTTTTGTTGCCAGATGCTATACACTGTACCAAAATGTCTTTGGTAACTATATTGCCTAACACAATACCAGATTAACACAGAGTATGCCAACTCACTTGAATTAACAACATCTACCTTTTAAAAGCTCCTTGTTATCTGGAATAAATAATGCACATGTAGAACTGACAGGCTGCATGAGGTGAGGACTTAAAAGTGTACATCAGACATCAGAGTCCAGACATTTACTCAGCCCTTTACTAGGTCTGACTTTGTTCAGTGTGTTGTGAAGCTACAGGTCACATCATTAGCAAAAAGCAAGCAAACAGGTCAGCCCGGCTCTGGCTGACATGTCAAGCTGCTAATCTATGTCAGGACGTTTCAAGAGTAGATTTTCATTGCATAAATCCCTTCACATCAGAAACAACTATAAATAAAAAGGGACATGTATAAGAAAGCGAGCAGAACAAATCAGGTGTCAGAAATACATCTCAAAAACACCCAAATCCCTCCATCGCCTGTTAATTCCCTCTCTCTGTTCAGCTGGGTTTTTTTTACAAACACAGAAATATCTAGCTAAATTAAAAAATTAATCCAAACGCGCCATATTAATTACACGTTTACCTTTTCATTGCCCACTCAATTTGTACTGAAATAGACACACAAGAGTTTGCTCCTGTGTGGATTTTACATCCTTCTGAAAAGCTCAAAGGTTACAAGCTACTTAAACAAATATTTGCATAAGTATTAAAATTAGGTTAAAATGATCTGATTTTTCTAATTAAAAGGAGTCAAGCACTCAAAGTATTACAGACTAATATGACAGCATAACTCACTTAACTTTGTCTTCTTTCCTGTAATGCAGTAAGTATCAGCGAGTGGCCGATCCCTGTGCTCTGTTTGGTTTGACACGCACCTTCTTTAAAGCACTTTTGCCTGTGACCTCACCTCAGTGCTCAACCACTCAGTTTCTCCAACGTCAGCTTGGAAAACCCACATACCGTGGCCCAACAACCACTCAGCTACTTTACAGTCTGCGAGAGACAAAGACGAAGCCGACCGCTGGGCTGCGAGGTCTTTAGCGTTACCACGGTAAATGATACCATATGTCAGACTGCGATAACACAGGTTATTACAGAAAAAACCTGCACCATATTATAATTAGCCAAGTATCATTAAACTCAAAGGATAATACCGCCCTCATTACCGATCTCATCAGGACAATTTAGAAAGGAAAACAGTTTACACCTCATCGGTTTATTGTTTACATTTTAATGAGATAAAAATGAACTCAAATGCATTTAGCCCATATGACCCTTTGAGAAATTCAAATATCTGGCAATTAGGATTCTCTCTCACATTGTGACATACACAAAAAAAAAAAATCAATATTTCTCCATTGGCGACTCAAAGAGCCTCCAGAGGGTTCTGAAGATAATAATCTGTGTATGTAGCAGAGTGATGAAATGACAATAACGATACTGATAAGTTGAATCATGAAAATGCTACGAACAACATAATAAAAATTTAATTAGCGCTCTCTGCTAAATATTGCAAGAGATTAGCGGAGAAGTGGAGTGCTCAAGCCAAAAATATTCTCCAGTGTGAAACGGAGAACCCCAGTGCACCACAGCAAGCGTTCGCATCCAGGATACTACAAACCGTCAACTTCTACTTCTTTAAACTGTCTACAAGCACAAGTCAGCAGTTCTTGGACGTCTACGGTAAACCACAGAGTTTCTAAATGTGTAGATTAGAATCCTCAGGGACAATCTGGTAATTCCAATCAATTGACATGTTGTGATGCCACACGTTTACATTGCCTAGTATGCCCAACAACAACCCCAGACATTTTTTCTTTCATACATAAGCAAGAGCACTGTTCTAGCCAAAAGTGCAAATAAACTTGTTTAACCGCTTGTGGCAAAAAAAACACACCAGTGAGTACAACCAGGAAATAAAGGCATGCAAAGAGGAGATACGAGCACCTGGTGGCGTGCAACCCAGTCACAAACAAATGACTGAGCCAAACACTCGCCTGGATGGAAATGACTGCTAAAAATAAAAGCGTTACTTAAAATTTCCAGGTAAAACATTACGTAGCCTACTTTTATGCTTTCATTTGACTTTTAATGTGTCACTGTTGTTGTACTATAATGCTCCTACTGCTGGTGGCACCCTGTGACAACAGATGCACATTTCGAATTAGGCAGTCTGTCATCGGAAACTACCCTTCATTTTGTTCCCACTAATAAATGCTGTTGCCTGCAAGCTGCAACCACCAATAACACTTTCACTGTTTTTCATACATCTTTATAAATACCGTTATTGAAAATCTTATTTAAATATCATGTTAGAATTTTGAGGCTATATCACCCACCCCTAGTATCATTAGCAGTATTTGGCAATTTCAAAATCTGACGTTCCAGTATGTCAGACAACATTTTTCCCCTCCTTTCAGAAACACAAAGAAACAGATTTTCTTAACATTTGATATGCATTTAATTGTTTACAGCTCTGCTAAGATCAGTTGGTTGTTGCGTTCCAAACCCATGTTGCCAACAGGAAGTTGCAGAGTACCCTCTGGTTTAAAAAAATAAAATACTATCACAATATGCATTCTCAACATCTCGAACATGGTTGAAAGTTTCTCACGCGTTTACTTTTTAAAAACATTTTGATTAATCAGCTGTTCTAAATGGTGATGAGCAAAAACCAATCAGCTTTACCATGATCGTTTTTCTAAAATGCATTTATCAATAACCTCTTAATAGGTTATCCCACCCCTGTTAGAGACAGAGGTAGGATTATTCCCCTCTCCCTAAGAGTAACCTTTTAAAAGAAGCCCACTGAACCAGCAGAATATTCGTGTTTCTATCCTTCCATGTGCTGAGGAAAGCCTCTGGATGACACACAGGTTTCACTGCTGAATAAAGCAGGAAAACAGAATTCATGGCGTTTTGAGAAGTGTAACTGCAGTGTTAACTTCTTCCTGTCACAGATTTTCACTAAAGAACTCAAGATGAAGCCTGCTTTTGAAATAGATACCTGTATTATTGAAGAGAACAAAAAGATAAAGGAGAAGAGCTTTGGGACCACTACTGGTTCACATGTGCTTTAAAAAAAAAAAAAAAAAAAAAAAAACACCCCGCCGCTGTGCATCTTTATAGAACAAGCCCTGTGTTAAACCCAAACCTGGCACAGCTGCAAGTATAAAACCCTTTCATTCAACATGCCAGGAGTACAATGAAAAACATCCAAGCTGAACCTCTCCTGTTATTGTTTATGCTCTTGAATGCAGGTTTCTAATAGCAGGGGTGGCTTTTTATTCATCCCCAGGGTGCATGTTCTCACCATTTTCCCATTTTTTGCGTATCCCACCTTCTTAGACACACAACTATAACCAAACACATCATCAGTGCAGTGTTCCCAGTTCTAAAAACAAAACAAAACCTTCATTGTCCACAGAATATCATGTGCTTTGCTATCATTTTTTAGGAGTGAGCTATAATTTTTATTATTAAACCTATTTGGGGGTTACTGGAAGACTGATTATCACTCTGCCCTATTAGTGCTTGCAAGCAACACAAAAAAAAACAAAAAAAAAACAAACTTGCTCATCTGATTCCCCCCCCCAACATGCGTTTTGTTCCAGTGTTGTCATCTAACTACTTCTCCAGACTTCCTGCTGCAATTTCAGCATTAATGTATCATATAAACACCTCTGTAATATTTTTTTCTGACCCCGAGAGCTCTTTCTACATTTTAATTTTTCTTAAAAGAGCCAAGTGCACAGATGAATTCCGTTAAAAATCTGACATAAGGAAAAGCTTGCTCAGATCTATAAAGCATCAAATGCTTGCATTCAAAACAACATGCATTGTGTTTTTGTAATGTGGTACATGTCACTGCATGCAAGGAGCTTTACAGCTTGTTTTTATGTTTATCCATAACGATGAGCAGCTCTATATTGCCACAGTAGAGAGGTGAAATTATCAGTAGGTGTAGCAATAATGGGGAAACACAGAGGCACAACAAAAGCAGGTCAGCTCCCACGATCAGTGCAGCATATAGTGTGACACTTAATATTCAATGTTCAGTCACATTTCATAAACCCCAAACGAGATTTTCAGGGAAAGCTAATCCAGATTATGTCGTAAACTGTACAAGACTTGCATGTAAAGCAGGCCAGACAGCGAGGTAAATACAACAGCATTTAAACTACTCATATTTGCCAAAATAACAGCAATAGCTGATCAAGACATTACTCAAAGCAAACTGTATGTCTCAGTCTCCATATGCATTGGATATACAAGAGTTCCTATAAACTGCATGTGGCAACAACAAGTACTTAGCCTTCAGAAGACGGTAGCAGAGATTAACTGCAGTACAGATCAAGAAGGAGGAAAAAACTTCTTTCTCGGGCCTTAAATGCCAAGAAAAAAAGGGGGAGAAACGCTTTGATGTTTACCAGCTAAAGTTGAGAGGTTTTCGTGTGTCAGCTGACGGCGGAGTTTGCGGTCGCTTAAACTCAACTCACGGGTTAAGTCCGTGACAACAACACGCTGTCATAATTTGGCTCGGAGCAAGAGGTTTGAGCTGATCCGATGAGGACTCCTGCGCTTGACAAATATGTCTGAAACTGTAACCGCGCCGCGATTAACGCAAACTTGACGCCGCGGTAGCCTGGGCTGTTCCGTCTCACAGGTGCCTCCCCTTTTTTTCCCCCTCTCTCATCCGCCCCTGCCGAGCATTTCCTCACATTTTACTCCTCACAGCACGGATCACGAACGCCACGATTTTTTTTTCTCCTCCACTCCGCAGGAACAACCACAGAAACCGGACGCGGCGCAGTCGACGTCAGCTCGGCATGTGTGTGTGTGTATAGGCGAGAGGTCTCCCCCCTTTTCAAGCAGACACCCACAAACTGACAGGATAACAAAAAGAAAACATCAACACGTCGTCCGGTTCTGCCCTGTGTCACGGACCCAGTGGTCCTGACACCGAGGGCTCGGTAAACTTGGCAGCCCAAACAAGTAACGACACAAGCTAAAGCAGACAGGAAACTTACCGACGGCTCAACTTACCAGCTGCCGTTTACATCCTGCTCCACACGGCTTATTGGTGCCTCACACCGCGGTGTTAGAACCGACGACGACGCGACGAAACCGCAAAAAAACTGATAACAGCGAACTGCTGGTTATAAATAGTCATGATAACCCTCCGGTGTGTGGCTGAGTGGTCCGTACAAGCCCCAGGAAATACGTCACGGCCGTGAATGTAGCGGAGACGTTAGAGGAAAACTACCGAGCTGCGGCGCTGCTACAGCCCCACCTGCCGGCCACAGGCGGCGTCGCACCCTCATGCCGACACAGAGGCTGTGTCCGGCAGCTGCCAAACACGCTATTGATTCCTAGAGGGGTCATTTATTATAGTGAAAAACACGCAGTGGATGCCAATCTGTTACGTGTGCGTGACTGTATGCCAATAAAGCTTACTGTAGTTGAGAAAACTGCTGTTGGGCCTATTAATTTACCAGCTTCCTTAACCTTTAAATGGTTGGTAAAAAAACAAAACATATTTTATGTCACGGTGCAGATTATGACCTTTTGGCATATGTGGAAAACAACCTATATGTTATCTGAAACAGGTTCACTGCGTTTTAAAAAGCACATTTGCAGCATCTGGTCCAAGCCTGATGGCTATAATTTCCTTTGTTACAGTTTTCTCCACACAAACTCTAATTGTTTGTTTGTTTGTTTGTTTGTTTGTTTGTTTGTTTGTTTGTTTGTTTGTTTGTTTGTTTGTTTGTTTGTTTGTTTGTTTGTTTGTTTGTTTGTTTTATCTCATGATGCTTCCACTCCCAGAGCCTGGTCCTGTCCAAGGTCTTTTCCTTTTGAAAGGGAGTTTTTCCTTGCCACTTTCACAGGGGCTATCTCATACAGAGTTGTTGAATTATTGGGTTTTTCTCCTGATTACCTTCCAGTGTAAAGGACTTTGATTCTGTTTAAATTCTTCGCAATCAATCCCTTTGATGTATACCAGTATAGTAAATTTACATTTACACAGAATCTCAAAGCACACCTGGGTTTGCCTCAAAGCATGCAGGTGTACCCCAGCTTTCCCCACAGTGCAAAGACATGCATGTTGGGTTAACTGGTGATTCTAAATTGGCTGTAGGTGTGAATGTGAGTGTGTTGTCTGTCTCTGTGGGTCAGCCTTGGGACAGACTGGCGACTTGGCTAGGGAGTACCCCGCCTCTCTTTCCATGATAGCTGGGGTAGGCTCCAACCTAACCCTGAACTAGATAAGTGGAAGTAAATGAATGGATGGAAAACTCATATGTTAATAATACTGACTAGTCCCTGCTTTTCTGTGTCAGATTTAACCCAACTCTAATTAGATGCATGCACCATGTGGGCTGCCCCTGAAGCCAGCGCCTGGTTCCCTTCCATATGGGGACAAACTCAGCACTAGGGTTGCATGTCATTAATTCATCTCTCTCACTCCATTTTCTGTCAACTGTCTAATGGAGCATTTTAATAAATTAACACACTACCTCAAAAATAATGGGAAAAAATTAACATGATATCAAGAAAAATTATTAACTATTTTTCAGATTATACAGGACCCAGTTTATTAAACAACCTCCAGCATAAAGCAGGATTTTAAACCTACTCCAGGTCCCGATGGGCAGGCCCATTTCTTAAATCAGAAACCAAATGATAAGCAGTGAACTTGGGGCTCTAGGTTCAGTTTCTCACTTGCCTCTTTCTATCAGCATCCTTCAATAATTTAGTGAGGCCACCTGCAACAGTCTATGGAGCAAACACTTCAAATGCTATTGCATTCATCAAATGTTAAACTGTTGCATAGTTTAAACTATTCAACGGTGCCTCCGCTCAAACCTGTTTCCTTGACTACCCATTTTCCATGAGTGCTTATTCAGCTCACTGGGGGCCTGTCACAGCTGACTCAGGGCAAAAAGAGGGGTAAAACCCAGAGAGATCATCATGTCATCACAGGCAACACAGACACTCACACTTCACATTCACACCCACTCCTAAAGGTTAACACACTGAAGTGAATATTCAGACAATTTGCAGTTTTAGACTTTAAAGTCTCAAATCATGACAGCTAAAATGTTGTAGCAATGGCTAACTGAGGCTACATCTTTTAATTACTGACTTACTGAAAGTGATCAGTTCAGTAATACAATAAAAAAACAGAAATGTTCATTTTTATCCCTTATCTCTTTTTAACTTATTTATTTTTATTGATAAGTTAAAACAATAACATATTCTGCAGATTTTAGAGTATTTGTTTGTTTGTTTTTTGTTGTTTGTTTAGAGAAATGAAAGAAATTGAGTTTGTCTTGCAAAGCTTATACAAGATTCATAAATGACGTGATTGCATTGTTGTCCAGAGACGGTAAGCTGGGCACACTCGAAGGCCATATCCTGCGGTATTGAAGGATTCTTCCATCAAATATGCAGCATTTCATAAAATGAAATGAAATCCTGCTGTAGGGGGGGAAAAATCTTTTAAGCGCACTGAAAGCTCTATTTTCACTGACACAGTGCCCGTGTTATAGTGTGCAGTTGTGCCTTGCTACCTTTTGAGAAGCAGCCAGCATTCTGACAGGATTGAGAATCTATTATTATGCAGCTATAGTCGGGGTAATTGATAGGGGAAGAGAATCATGGTGGGCAGAGTCTGCGGGCTTCATCTCTGTTGTGGTCCCTGTGGTTTCCACTTCTTGTGCCTTCTGTGTTCCACTTTCTTTGTTATCATGTTTTCTTTCAGTCGTAATTCTCAGCGTTAGCTATTACCTATTTGTGGTGACAGCCTCTTTTACTTTGAAAGTTAGTTTTTTCATGTGTCTTGTTTTTTTGGCTTTGTTTCCTGTTTTTTCAACTGAAAAGGCATATAGACATGATCAAAGTGAATTTGAAACTGAACATCAGAATTGAGAAGAAAGCTTTGAATGTGGCGTGGTTGTTGGTGTCAGTCAGGGTCGTCCGAGTATTTCAGAAACTGCTGATCTACTGGAATTTTTCCCACACACAAAATATCCAGCAGATCAGCAGTTCTTTGGGTGAAAAGGCCTTGTTGATGTAAGAGGTCAGAGGTCAGACTGCTTTGAGTTGATAGGAAGGCAACAGTAAAGCTTGATTTTGACTTCTGTGTGAAATCTACGCCCTAATTTATGTAGTAACCGAAAAACTCCTTTTACCCCTGCGCGCAACCTTCCACGCCATTCAGACTGTTGTGGAATGCCTTGACCCGACGTGTAGTTACATTTCTCAGGAGGTGCACGTCAGGTTACATGGAAGGTTGCGGTGTAGGGTTAAAATGAAGTTGCGGTTATGGCCTAAGTTATGACGTAGATCTGATGCGGAATTATAATCCATGTGTAACTCAAATGAGTGCAGAAGAGCACACATTGGTTTCAGCAGCAGAAGACCACACCACATGTCAATCCTGTCAGCTAAGATGCGAAAACTAAGACTGCAAATTTACACCGGCTCACTGAAACTAGACAATAGAAGATGTGAAAAACGTTGCCTGGTACAATGAGTACTGATTTCTGCTGCATTATTCAGATGGTAGGGTAAGAATTTGGAGTAAAAAGCATGAACGCATTGAACGATTCTGCCTTGTGTCAACTGTTCAGGCTGCTGGTGACACGGTAATGGTGTGGTGAAAATTTTCTTGGCTCACTTTAGGTTCCATAGTTCTAGCTGAGCATTGTGTAAACACCACAGGCTTACCCCTTTATGACTGCAGTTTATCCATCGTCTAATGGCTGCTTTGGGCCATGTCACAAAGCTCAAATCATCTCAAAGTGCTTTCTTGAACGTGGCAAGAGTTCACTGTACTCAAATGGCCTCCACAGTGACCAGATCTCTATTCAGTAGAGCACATTTAGGATGTGATGAAACAGGAGATTCAGATCATGGATGTGCAACCAACAGATTTGCAGCAAGTCCAACCCAGTAGCAGCAAACAGAGCCTAATAAATTGTCTGATGAGTGTATAGACCACGGTGTATTAATGTAATGAAATATCTCAAATTTCTGAAAGTCTTATCCTCTGTCAAACATTAATTATTGCAGCGAGATTGTTCTAACAAAAGAACATTACAGACAAAACACCTACATAAACTCATTTATATTCTGCCAAGCTGATAACCCGCATAAGAGAGAAACATGTGCAGCCAAGCACAATCAAGAGCAATGCAAGTTAAAGGAATAGCACGCAGACGAAACAGAACAGTTCAAATTATTTATTTGAAGTACAAATATGATGATACCAGGTCAAAGGGACAATTAAATGTTCTTCCAGTCTTTTAAATAAGTTGCCACAAGAAGAGGTGCAAAGCCAGTGAGCATAAAGTGAAGATGTCTTTGTTCAGGGCTGCTGGAGCCAAGTTTCTTCCTGTGGAAGAAGGAGAACAGAATACATCATGAACAAAAACACAAATCTTATTCAGTGCTTATCAGAAACAAGTATCATGCAGAGTGGCTTTAACAGACTAAATATGGGGGAGGTTATCAGTTGTATTGTTTCTAAAGACACCCGCCTCTCAGCTCCAGCAGAACATCTCCTTCGTATTGAGCTAATCCAACAGCATGTCTCTGTTCCTTGTCCAGCTCTGCCCACTGCTCCTCAGTGACAGCCCACGCCTGCTCCACACTCAACCATGACAACTGAACTGCACTAAACACCACCTGTCAGGCGCACACCCAACACAAAAATATATATATTTTTCATTTCCAGGAATGCAGACATTACATGGCATCAGGTTTTCTTTGATTTGACATTTCTCAGTTATTTCCAGAGTTGCACATTTTTATGGCGAGTTCAGTAATTTGTATATAAATAAAATGTTATATTATGTGTATTACAGCAAAAAAAACCCTATCCTGTTCTGTTTATCTGTCCAATTAAAAATCACAGACAAACCCTTTTGAGGCCCACTGTAAGTTAGTGCATTATTTATAATATTTACTTATTTAATATTCATTTGATGAAAATCACAAGCTTAAAAAAATGTTTTTCATCATTTTCAAAAAGATAAAAGAGAATGACTGAATATGTAGTCATGTGAAAAAGAGAGAGCTCTTGGCTATGCATGTCCTTAAAATGATTGTCTCAGATACATAGATGTCTCCAGCTGTAAGCAAGGAAATCACTGCCCACCTGCTCTGCAGACCTTCTGTTTGCAGAGGGCACTCAATCAGAAGAGAGCTGACTTAAAGGGAAATGACCTAAGACTGCTTGCTTCACCAAGGGCCAGAATAAAAAACATAAGGATTATTTTAATCTGTGAATCATGCAAAGCTACTCTACTGGATCTAAGAATAAAATTATGGAGCTAAAAATCGGCTTTAAAACAAGTGATGAAACTCACTGCCATCTTTTTTGGTGATATCAGGGCGATAGCTTCAGGGGTGATTCCCCCCACTTGTTCTTGTAGCAGGGCTGACAGCACCATGTCTGGCAGGCCCGCTGGACATAGAGGGAGAGAGAGAGAGAGGAGCGCTATAGTGAGATAATTAATGTTTCTCATGTCACATCACAGGAGGAGTGTAGAGAAACATTTCCTCTTACTTCCGAGCCTGTACCCTCAGGGATACTTTTAATTGTACCTATCCATCCAAGAGCTGTCATTTCCTCTTTAAAAAGAAACAATTTTTAAAAAAGTTAATCAAAAAGAGTTTACACCCAAGGGATATTATGCTCTACTATACCTGCCAACGTCCCAATTTCAGTGAAAACTTCTGGTCCCCAAGTATTAACTGGACCAAAGGCCTGTGGTCTGGACAAACAGCTTGTCAATGCCTCCATCTGCTGCTCTGTGCATGGCAGGGATGTCTCCCGCAGGAACACAACAGCCATACTGCAGTTTGGGGGGAAAGATTCAAGATTTTATTCCTCCTCTGAGGATAGAAAACGTTTTCACTGGCTTTGTTTTGCTCAGAATCGTGCTCCCGCCTGCTGTTGGTTAGCATCTGCTAGCAGGTTCATGTGATATCAGCTCTTTTATTCATAAAACCACAGCAGATAGTTTTGTTTTGCAGCAGGAGGGAGTTTCATTATGAGCTATTACTTTGACAGATTGTGAGAGTAGCATTATTTGACAGATTTTTTTTTTCTCCATCATGTCAAACTAAGCTGATAGCTATGTTTGACATCTGTCAGTTTGTGATTGTTCCCGTACATATGCTGGATAATTTGTTTATAAAGTTGGATCGCTGTGTTTCCTCCTTCTTGCTTTTACATGTTTCTGTTGTAGCTAGAGCTAAGTGCATGTAGGAAGTGTGGGTAAGCAATTTATATCACTGACCTGAGGTTGTAGGGGCTCAGTTTTTTTATCTCAGAGGAATGCAGACCACAGATCAGATGGCCAAACGCTGCCAGATCAACAACTGTTAACTGCTCCACTTTAAGTTTGCGTTTCCGCAGCACATTCAAAATCACTGCTCTCATCTGAAAAGTCAGACAGGAACCACAAATTTTCATATTAACACACTCAAGTTTTGATTCTGCAACTTATTTTCATAAATTTGGGGGTCAAATTCAAAGGAAAAGCCTTCAACAATGCAGTCAGTGAATCTTATGCACTGGGTATGCTGACATGGTCTGCATACCCATGGTCTGAGTGACTATCTTTATCCCATAATGAAATAAATGATCCTGGTGGCAGACACTAAATCGTTTGAAGACTTTGCAAAAGACATGAATCGGGCAATAGAGCCCAGAGTCTCTACATCTGAACCCATTTGCATCCCTATGGGAGATTTGGACTTTATTTTCAAACTTCAAAACACAGAAGAACCCAGTTCAAACCCTTCTTTAAAACTTCACATGCTTATAGATTCAGTGCCAACAGTTTAGGCTGGTTTTACTTTAATTTGTCACCCATCTGTTTTAGAGAATAAATTAATAAATAATTTTTTAAAATAGCTCACCTTTTTAGGGCTCCAGTCTGTCAGTGTGCCCAGATGTGCCAAAACACCTGGATTAGAGAGTTTAGTGTCTTGCAGGTCCTTCTCTCGCATTTCAGTCACCAGTGAGCCCAGCTCCAGCACCTGATCTTCACTCAGCTCTCTCACTGGACTCAACAACTGGATTGAATGTTTGTTTGTTTTTTAGCTAAGACACAACAGTCTATTTTTTTTTCTCTATATCTCACAATTATTTTAATTCTTTAGCACCTCTTATAGATTTTTGATCACATTTTTGGAACATATATTGCTACCACTTTTGTTTTAGATCCACCTCATGGGGTCAAAATCTAAACATGAAGGAGAGACAGAAGAGCCCCGCTCTGACAGACCCTGAAGCAATCTTAAGGGATGATATATACAGAGAAATATAAAGAGGAGGACAATTTGAGTGCTGTGGGGGATGGTCCTGTAAGTGGAGTTTAACTGACCTGTCTGAGTTTCACCCACAGTGACCGGCGCTGCTCTGAGCTCAGCAAAGAATCCTGACCAAACACCTCTACGCACTGTTTCAGCTCCTCCTGTGACATTCGGCTGAGCTGAGTGGATGTCCAAGCTGAAGGATATGTCCCTCTAATGTCTGCACAGCTTGGAACCGGCACTGCTCAAGAAAGAAAAAACCCACACATGCGGATTCAGTGAAAAGATGCTAAAAGGTGGCATTTATATGTTCTAGTTAACAGAGCTATGTAAAATGCGTTAAACAGAGCATGCACTTAAAGAAACATTTACTGAACTTTTTGCCCTCCGGCTCCGTGCTTTCACAATGCCCCGAATGAGGCTCTGAGTCTGCTGTCTCTGGCGATGCTGGTCAATACACTGGGTAATGCACACGCCACCAGTAATGCTGTCTTCCCAGCGCCTTTGACCCACCAGGACCTGCTCCACAGTGTCTTTATTCAGCACTGACTGTACAGCAGAAACCCTTATTATGAATTCCTGCAGGTCAAAATCTCTCCAAGAAAGCCAGTGAAAGTAAAATAAATGTAGTTATTTGAATGATTTTTGCTGCTTACCAGTGGAATGGAGTTAATCTGCTTCGTTGAGAGAGCAAACACCAGTCGACCCAAATGTTCTACATCTCCAATTTGCCACTTGGATGGCTCTCTGGAAAACAAGAATAGGTATTCATTACTGCTGCTTAAAGTGGTAAATCTCTTATTATCCTGGGTTGTGGAGCCGGGGTTTTATTAGTTCTTTGAAATTTAGGAGTTGTGTTTATTGTCTGGGATTTGATTTATATTCTTTTTTTAGAGTTTCGGGGTCTTAGTGATGTTTATCAAGTAAGTCTGTAAGTCTGTTCCTCTCATGTTCTGAGTATGTGTTCTGTTAGTATGTTTTGTTAGCTTAATGTTCCTGTCTCTGCATCCACAGAGGTTCAGTTATTATTTCTTACTTCCTGTTTTATTTTGTAAGTCGCTCTCTCCCTGCACTTTAATCATAATTAGTTTCATCTACATGTTGTTTCTCCAGCTGTGACTCTAGCCCTCAGTGTGTGTTTGAGTATATATAGTCCTGTCATTCCTTGGTTCTTCGTCTCAGTGTCTTTTTAACCAGTTATCAAGCTCTGTGTGATTCTCTTTGTGCCTTTGTGGATTTTGTATTGCTGTGTGGGACTTCTACACCCAGCCTCATTAAACGGCTGACAGTTGTTAAATCTTGCTCGTCTCCTGAGTTTACATTTGGGTCCTAATCCTCCGAATTGTGACAATCCACGTGTTAGTGCAGGAGCAGTGCTGGGATTTCCCAAATGGGCTTGTATTTTACACCATTATTCTACTCTCCACAAATGGATGTGGATTGTGTCTGAAATACAAAGTTTGCAGGTCAGTGTAAGACGATTAGTATATTTTACTGTATTTTGGACCAAGAAGCTTTGTTTTGCAAATTGTTAAAAGTTGAGGCCACATAATGAGACCACTCATCCAGATTCTTAATTTCATTTCACTCGGAATAATCCTCAGCTTGACAGACTGCAGACTGTATTTAACCATTAGTTATTATCTGTCTCTGTTTCTCTTCCACAGTGTCTTTTGTCTTGTCCCCCTCCCCTGCCCCCCAGCTATGTGTAACAGATGGCTGCACCTCCCTGAACCTGGTTCTGCTGGAGGTGTCTTCCTGTTAAAAGGGAGTTTTTCCTTCCCGCTGTCACCATGCGCTTGCTTAGAGGGCGTCGTCTCTGTATTAATGTAGGGTCGCTATAACACCACTTCAGGCGACTCTCGTTGTGATTTTGTGCTCTATGAATGAAACTGAATTGAATTGGAGGTGGTAATTTGTAACAGGTTATTATTGTATGTACTGGTTTCAGGGTCACTTGAGATCAGTTGGGGCTAAAATGTACAAAAATGATTCAGACAACCAAGCTGGTGCATTATTTGTGTGTGAAATTTCCGATTTGCTACAGCACTGGGCAGCAGCACTATTTCGGTCCAGATTGAACTATCACATAAATTGCACTGATGTGCTGTATGATGTACAGACAGATATTTATGAGACTAGTGCCCAGTTACTTGCGATAGGTTAGGAGAAGAGAAAAGATGGAGTGAAACTAAAAGAGAGTGTGCTGATCCTGCAGTCGTGACCTTTATGTCAGTATATTTCAACTTATAAAAGATATGATAAATTAAAAAAATGATGTGGTGGGCTTGGTTTCTTTACATATATTTTTACAGGCTTACATTTCATGACTTCCACAGTGCTGTTTGATATATTTTCGATTTAAGTTTTTCATGGTGTGACCTTTTTTTTTCTAATTAATTCATTTTTCAGTGCTTATGCTGCTTGTTTGTGTAAATCCAAAATAATAATAATAACAATATTTAAATTCTTATCTTGAGGTGTTAAAACTCCTACACATGTGTTGCTTTACCCAAACAGTTCTTTCTGGGTGAGCAGAGCACTGATATCCCTCAGAGCCTCTTTAGGAAGGCAGAAATTTCTCATCTCCTCCAGCCGCAGAGCCACCGCTCGTCTGTCCACCAGAGCCAAACTGTCCCTGTCTAAGAAAGGCAGCAAAGGTCCGAGGGTATCCAGAGCGGTGCCATCAATCTGCCCCTCAGACAGAGAAGAGCCCTGCGGAGCACGACATACAGAGAGAGACGTCCCGGATTACCAGGATTTCACACTGAAATGACTTCACTTGTGTGAAAAGCTGCTGAGAGGATAAAGGCGGGTTATGTTCTGAAGCACTTTCTCCATCTGTTTTTCTCTAAATACTACAACCGCCTGCTTGAAAAGCCTGAACACACAAATGTTCTTTCTGCAAAATTAATGAGTTAAAACAAATCAAATACGTGACACACAAACACTAACTGAAGCCCTGATTTAACTCATCGAGAAAATGCTCTTCTTCTTTTCGGTTTGCTCTGAATTCTCATTATAATGGTTTAGAATTTTATTACTTTGGGAATTTGCAGAATTTGGTATTTGAGCTTGATAAAGTTTACTTCCTACAGCAACAGAGAGTCTAAAATGTGCTAAAACATGTGTTAACTTGTGCCCATCTTGCATGATAAGCTGTTATTTTGGGTGTTTTACCAGCTCAGTTAAGGCCTTCTCGGCTAAATTGGTCTGTTTATAATGTGGCAGTCTGAGAAAATCAGCAAACTGTGCTTGAACGTGGTCCAAAATGGCTCTGAGGGATGTATTAGAGAGTCTCTCTATCATGGTCACCCTGGAAAAGAGCAGAGCATGGGTGTAAATGCAGTCACCCGAGAGAAACAGTAAAACATTTATTCAGAAAAAAAGAGTAAAATACAAATATAAGGAGGTGATATTTACGGCAATGTTGCAGAAAACGCAGAACTCAAAATATTGAGGTCGAGTTTAGGTTGTCTTCTCAGTTCCTCTATGATACATTTTCGCTGGTGGCATATCTGAACTTGTTAGTACAGGGGAAAAATGCATTTTCATGGAAACATAAATTTTTATGGCTCACATTCCTCACCAGAGCAGGTCTTGTGCCTCCAGGCAGCTCACTAACAAACTGAAGCAGCTCTACAAAATCTGTATCATTGGTCCAGAGCTTCAGAAAGTCACAGCTCATTCCACCAGCGATATGACCCAGATCTCTATGAGTGAGAAAGAAGTCATTATTTAGACTGTCTTCTAAGCGGGTGTCTGACTGAAAATGAAACTTCAGATGTTTCTGTTGTGTTTTTATTTTAGCTTGCAATCAAAATATTAAATGAATTATTAAATCAGTGCTTTGGCTGGGGTGAAACCTACCTCACTGACTTGCTGGTAATGTTTAGAAATTCATGGATCTTACTGAATAGAAACTGAGTCTGTAAAGAAAAGGAACAGCATGAGTCAGCATTTTGACTGCGTTTCTTTAAAATCAAGAAAGAAACTCAAACCAGTTTCCAGATATTACAATAAGGCAAGTTTTTTTTAGCCCCAACAGGAAAATAAAAATCAATTCCCTAAACGGTGACGAACAATTGGTCCCTTATATACTTTAGTATTGCCATTTGTACACATAACATAATTTATGGACATCTATAGTTTGACTTCTTTACATGTGTGAATTGGATGGGTTGTTACAGACGTTTGCTGAAAATGTCACATCAATAGAACCTCTAGAAATATACTTAGAAAATTGGTGTTCAATTTTTATTTTAGCCATTCTATATGCACACACACTGGTTGGAGGATACTTATCAGCAGACGCTGGTTAACCAGAGATATCACATGTATATTGTACAATATGAAAATCATATTGCAGGTTAGTTCAGAAATAGTGTCATCACGTTGTTTAACCAGAAACGTGAGTTCAGCTCAGTTGCCATTCTATCCTTTTTTTTTCCATGTAGCACGTCATAATAGAAGGAGACTGTATATGACACTCAGTCCTTCACGATAGTTTCCTCCTTCATGTGAGACTGACTAATATGAGCACAGATGCTCTGCCTCCTGTTGATGGTATTTTTCTCCACTACAGCTAAGGGCAACTGTAAACATGGCAAAGTAAAAGAGAAATTATGCTACCAGCTTAGAGGAAATGTGAATTGGAGCAAACAGCCAGCAGTATGTGTAGAACAGTCAAGATTTTATCACTGTAGATTCACTTTAATCTGCAGAGTGATCCTCATAATAGACCAGCATAAACAACCACACTCTGCTGGCATCAGCCCCAGAAATCATAAATGTCTCTATACTATATATATGCAGCAGTATTGGTTTTAGGTGAAATTTAAGATCACTTTGACAAGTGTTTAATTCATAATGCTCATATAAACATTTAGTACTGTTTTTAAGAGGAAATTTAAGGTTTAACACTGACCCAATGATCAGTCCAATTACTGCACATATCAGGGAAGATAATGAGAGAAAAGGAACTTCATTGGTTTGACTGAAGTCTTGTTGGTCTGAGAATAGGTGGTGAAAGCAGGCTAAAACAATTTTGGCTGTGACAAAACCCCTTTAAGGTAGCCAATTATTAATTCATGCTGTACTCCTCCACATCATTGTACAACATCCAAACTAATTAGCTTGATGGCAGCTGATGTGAATGGAGTATTAATATCCTGAAAGGGCCTCCTGAAGCATATCCTATGAGTTGCAGATTAATGGGGGCGAAAACTGAAGCTGCTAACAGTTTCTTCTTTTGTAATAGAGCTATTGTTGTTATATGAATGTGATGTTAAACAGCACGCAAAAAAAGGGATTAAAGTAAAAGGGTGCACCTGGTGTGGCGACCAGTCTATGTCCCTGTACACGCCGATGCTTCTTGAAACGATTTCAGCACTCATGGTCTGCATCAGCTCCCTCAGAGGGACAAATGGTAAAAGACAGTTTAGCTGCAGAGTGGTGTTCTTCGTGTCTCTGTGCAGAGCCTGCTGAAACAGAACCACAATAAGAAATGTTCATTTATGCTTTATTGAATCTAATTTGTCACAACCTGCTCAAATGTCTTTTTTACTCAATGCGGCACCAGAGGGGAAATAATAAACCATAAGATTAGAAAAGTGAGAAGAAGCAGAGGAGAACAAAAAGCTCCGTCACCTCCTGCATTGCATTGTATAGCATGGCTCTATGGCCAGGCTTAAGCTCAGTTAGCAATGTTCTCCAGCACTGGCAGTGGACAGCTTCACTGATCTCAGCCCACTGGAGGTCTCTGAGCACAGCAGGGGAGAGACCGGAGTATAACGGCTTCAGTCGGCACAGTTTTTCCATGGTGAGCTGGCGGGAGGAGAAAAACTCAGAGGTGAGAGTGCAGCTGGACGGAATTCAGCACAAATATTTTAAAAATTTCCACTTACGTTGGTGTCCTTCGAAATCTTGGATAACATTTTAAATGCCTGCAAAGAGCATTAAAAAATAAGTCTGCCAACAAAACACCCACATTTTAAGAAAGTTCACACAGGACACATATTTCATCTCTGTTTATTCCCTGCTTTTCATTAGTTATATGCAAATTAATAGTAGACTTACATTTATGGCAAAAATCCCTGGCATTACATATTTCAGTAAAGGTTAGCATTTCATTTCTCTGAAAAGGGGGGTCCACTGCTACACGCTTCACATCACCTTATAAAAACAACTAGAAGTTGTCCTGACAAATCGGAAACTTTGTCGAAATGCAACTCAAATTTATACATTTACAGTGACACTTGGGGAGGAAGAAGATAAGCATGACAAGAGAAATAATTCCCTGCTGACCTGTGCTGGGGAATATGTGTGTAATCCTGGCTGTGACAGGACTTCCAGCAGTTGATCTGAGGGGAGTGACAGCAGAAAAGAAGCTCCCAACTGGGGAAGCAGACCACTGAGAGCAGACAGCTCCAGAGGAGCCATGCTGCTGACATTCAGGGTCTGAACTGCTGGTATTAACCAAGAAGACAGCTATTCATAAGACACAGTGAAACAGAGTTAGTCAGACATGCCATGAAAACATACTTGAGACTGTAACCTGAAGTTGTCCCGTGCCCCTCACCCTGCCACCGGCACTGACAAAGCCCTTGGATATGCACTGAGACAGCTGCTGCCAGAGAGCAGAGGCCACAGCAGAGTCCTGAAGATATGAGCCCAAGTCGGATGGATCCATGTAGCACGCAAGGACTCCTAATCTGCAAAAGGCACTCATTCACTTTTCTGATCACTTGATTTAACATTAAGTTCAATGGCATAATGCTTTTTGTAATAGACTTCAAAATGAAGGGTTCAATTATGAAATAAATCACAGCTAAATACAGAGATCCTTACAGAATGAATAAACTACAGCACAATAAAGATAACATATGTTGCATTGCGTCTGATTAAAATGAGATTCACTATTGTTATTAATCATCATCAGCTTGACTTTCTGGGAAAAAAGAAAGTTGCTGTGGGCCCTCTAAGCTACAACTATGGACCCCAGATTCATGTTAACTTCCTTTGCAAAAACAATACCAAAGAAATATTTGAATATTTCTTTAAACATACCTAATTTCTTTACAGTTGGCTCAGGAAATTGGAAATAGGGGCATCCGTTTATTTAAGCATGAGTAAACATAAATGAAAATACGATAAAAAAGTTTTTTAAAGTTTTCACGAGCTTGAAAGTCCGTTCATGTTAGTCAAGTTTTATTGTCATTTCTCTAAGTAGTCTTTGGGAGTAGTTCTCCAGGCTTCTTGAAGGACATTCAAAGCTCTTTTTTGGATTTTGGCTGCATTTTGTTTTGTGCTCTGTTAATATGACCCCACACTGCTTCAGTCATGTTGACTGCTTCAGTCTGGGGAGGCCAATCCATGACTGATAGTGATCCATTGTGTGTTTTTTTCCATTTGCTTTTACTGAACTAACAGTGTGTATGGGATTGTTGTCATTCTGGAAAAAAAATAACAATAACATTTAAAAATGCCAATCAGATGCTTTCTATATGCTATTTAAAAATTAGATGTTAGTTTTTATATTTCCATCAGTTTTGACAGGATCTTCATCACCACTGGCTGGAACGCAGCCCAAACCATGACAGAGCCTCCACCGTGTTTTACAGATGGCTTCAGACTATCTCTCCTAACCTCCTCTGTACATAGTGATGAGGATTTCAACATGTTGCCACTCATTTTCAGTCCAGTCCTTGAGGCATACCTCTGCCTTTTCTCCCTTTTTCCCTTTTCTTAAGAATGGCAGTCACCCTTCCACTGAGTCTAATTCTGATGAGGTTTCAGTGAACAGCAGACGGATCAGCTGACGGACCAGATGCATTTTTCACCTGTCAGGTCTGTGCTGTTGTTTGTCCTGTTTCTTGAGGACCTGGTTTTGAGATCATGTTCATCTGCTATGGACGGTTTTTTAGGCCTGACACGTTTTTGTCTTCCAGTTGTCCAGTTTCCTCATTTTTTAAGGATTCACTACACACTATGCCAGGTTTTCAAGTTTTTTTGGTGCAAAAATACTATTTTATGCTTGTCAAACTGTATTATCTTTTGCTTTCTTCAAAGATTCAACTACAAAATGGGAACAAATTATATGTTTTTGCAGCACCTAAACAGGTATATCTGAGTGACTCACAGGCTGGTGTTAAGTGGTTGATCACATACAGAACTGGTCTGAAAATGAGTGAAAAAGCAGCCAATGTCCAAAGAAAAAGAAAAACTATTGCTCTATTGGTCTAGACTACTCAGAAATTTTGAAGAAAGTCTGACTCCTCGGAAGCAAAATGTAAAGAAATGGTGGCTCAAGACTTTTGCACAATACTCTAGACATGGATAAGCTTGGATAAGTTTAAGGTATCTGGATCCCACCTCATTATGTTGTCACCAGTCACATTTATCTTCCTACTGAAGAGGGTCCGCAGCACATGGCGCCCCCTTACTCCATCCAGACTGCCATTGCCAAGTAACTCCACCAAAGGAGCAAGCTGACCGAGAGGATTACAATGACGAAAAAAGCATGCAGAGTGAAAAGAAAGTTTCATGGTGGTAAAGTAGGTCTTTAATAGTGGCGGTGGAGAACACTTTTCTCTAAAACCTCACATACGTGTTGGTATTGGTTGGTGTATGGAAGCATTTATTCATGTAGGTATTCATTAATGAAAAGAGATAAAGTCATGTAAGAATATGTCAATCAGAGAAATGCCCTCAAACCTGCTGTGATGTCAGCTGCTGAAAATGACTGACTGGGAGGTAAGGCAGAAGTGGGAGGATGGAGCTGAGAAAGTATGGTGGCCATGTAGGGACATCACCCACCACGCTAGACTGCAGGAGTCTTTTTACAAAGGCCTTTTTCTGCAGGGACTTCATCCCCGAGCTGTGGTCACGGATGGCTGTCAATCTGAAGAGCATTGCAGAAGCTGTTAGTGTCACATTGAGAAGTTTTACATTAACTATGACCACGTTTGGCCCACAACTCACACGCTGTCATTGACGATGAGGGAGGCTGGGAAGCTCATTATGTCAGAGACAGACATAAAGGGAATGAACTGAGAAAGGTCCACAAACAGCTCTGGGGTCACTCGCGGGAACTTGTGGATGAAAGCTGCTGTCATTGTTTCCATGGCCTGCAACTCTTTTTGAGAGGCCTGACAGGGAAAACAAAACGCCGGACAGGAATGGACGTGGATTCAATTTGGCACTCTTTAACTATGCATGGACCATGACGTGAATCCAAATAAAGCAGAAGCAACACAGTGCAACCTACTGTAATAACCACCAATCAAAAGAAATGCATATGAAAGAAAACACATTACAATTCTTCTCCATCTCCTTACTCTGTGATGAATGGTTTTACTGAGTGAAATCAACAAGGGCTCATTTATGTGTATTTATCCGGCTAATTAGCTTCTTACACAGAGGAAGCTTTAGCAATAAACATATTTAAGTACAAAAAGTTGAAGAACAAACCTGGCTGGTTTCAACCTGAAGCTGATCCCAGCTTCGATGCATGTGGGAGAGAAATCTCTTGACTGCATCCTTCTCAGCCGACATCACTAGAGTACGAATGCTGTCTCTTGGCATCTGGAGGTACTCCTGGTGGGCGATTCAGTTGAATGTAACTCTCAGTGTGTCTATGTGTGAGGTGTTATATGTGGGTAAATCTGCACACGCTCAGTACCTGCAGCAGAACCTTGAGAGCAGATGAGTTGTCATCACGCTGGATGAGGTCCCAGAGGACAGGCTGATGTAACAGGAGTAACAGGTTATTTACTTATTGTGTGTCTGTTAAACAAATATGTCTGTTAGTAACTGCATCTTACACTGAAGCAGCTCAGCAGGTCCTCCTTTAGTGTGGCATTCTGCTCTCTGCGTAGGAACACTCCCACAGTGTGGAGAACGCTCGTGGAGGCTTCCGGCCGCAGTGCGGACCAGGATGTGTTGTCGATGAGACTGGAGAGGAGAATAGCCTGACCCAGACCCTGCCTTGCCTCTCTTTCTCCCTCGTCCAGCCCCGAAGAGAGACCCACCATAAAATCTAAGACTCGCAGCACATATCCCAGCGCCACTAAAAAACCCTCACGCTCTCCCATCTCGACCTCACACACGCTCAGCTTGTGCAGGACATCCATCAGCAGTGGTGCCGGGTCCACGCACAGCTGCGATGTATCAAAGTCATAAGGTGCTGGAAGCATGTCAAAAAACCTCTGGAGGAAGCACTTCCTGTCTTCCTGTTCAGCCAGCAGATCAGCACAGATATCAGCAAACTGAGGGTTTGTTCTTAAAAGCTGATAGTAGAGTGTGGCATTCAGACAAATGTACTCTCTCAGTCCACGTGTCTGCACACAGAGCTCCAGGAGGGTGAAGTTAGTGAAATGTTGCACAGGCCACTCTCTGTACTGACAAGTCTTCAAAGTGGTGTCATCATGGGAGACATTGTGTATTTTGGAACAGTATGCTGCAGCCCACTTGCCCTCTGGCAAGGACTGGTGCGAGTCAGTGCCACACAGAGATGAGATCAGGACTGAGTTGTTGGGTAGAAAGCAGTGTCTGAAAGCCTGAGCACTGAGAGACCTGCCGCCCAATTGAGCCAGACAGTTCTCACTGAGTCCTGTATTCCACATTGACTCATCTGAAAGCTGCACACACAGCTCATCTATGCTCGTCTGGTTAAAAAAATGATAGTCCTTTGTCACTGCAGCCTGAAACAGCACAAAATAAATTAGTCAATCCACAGAATATTCAGTTCTTTATTAAGAATCTTGTTTTGACTTAACTCTGGAAACAAAAGATTTAATTGCACATAAACAACAAATATTAAATGTATTAATTAAACAAACGATATTAACAAAAGTTTGTATTCTAACTTTGAAAACCATTAGGACACCCAACCCCCTAATAGCTAGTGTTACCCCCTTTGTTAGAAATAGCATCAGTGATGCTTCTTGTAGCCGTCTACCAGTCTCTGACATGGTCTGAGGAAGGTTTCCTCCAATCCAGCAGAATTCCTTCAGCTGTGAGATTTTTGAGGAATTATTTGCATGTACAGCCCATTATCCCAGAAGTCCTAGTCTTTGTTCTCTCTGGCCTCTCCCATGCAAGTTAAACATGTGCAGTCTGATTTCTGATTGTAGAGGCATGCATTTTACATCAGAAGTTGCAATAGCCTGAAGACATTGTTTTGGAGACTTCTTTTAGCATCTTGCACTCTGCTCTCGGGGTGAACTTGCTCAGACAGCCAGACCTGTGTCAATGTCCTGCACTTGTAGACTATTTTTGGGAAGGAATCGCTGACCTCAAATTCTTTTGAGATCTTTCCAAATCCCTTCCCAAACTCATAAGCTGCTGCAATCTTCTATCTGAAGACCTGAGACAGCTCTTTTGATCTCATGATAGTGTTCACTCTCACTTCAATGGTCAGGAGCACACCAAACTCAGCGTCTTAGGTTTAAACAGGGCAAGCCTCCTTTAAAATGCTGAGTAAGGATGTTTTAATCATGTGCGACTGATGTGATTCGCCTGTGAGCGAATCCTTGGCCATTTTTAATGTGAATTGATGCAGCGGTGTCCTAACTCAAGTATTGCATTTTACATTAAAATGTGTTTTCTTCAGTTATAATTGTTTAGTTTTATCATTTGAACCTCCCACTATTGTTAAAATGAATATTAAATTTCCATATGACCAAACATGCTTGCAGGCTTTCACAGCATGTCCTAATTTTTTCACATGATTGTATGCTAAGATAAAAAAAAAGGCAACCAAAACTCAAATTTGTATGCCTTGCTAAGCTGAATTCCAAGAAGACACTTGTGCTCACTCATCTAAAAAGTAATCCATTACCTGATGTGCTCTCTGCAGCCAGAAAGATGAGTTGGCACACACTGTATTGTTAAATTCATGGGCAAAGAACTCGCTGCAGACATGGACCCAGAGGAAGTCCTCCTCTGCAGCAGACAGGTACCAGGCTGCATCAGAGCACGTAGCATGCAGGTCGAGCTCCATCTGATCCATTGCAGGGTTAACTGACCCATTCTCATCGTCAAACAGTTTACAATAGAGGAATACAGTGAAGTTAGAGACGCCGGTCAAGCCTGGGATGGATTCATTACATGCGGCCTCCAGGATTTCTGTAGAGGTGGAGTACTCAATCTCCTTCTGCTGACCGGTGCTCTCTTTAGTCTCTGTTTGTGACTCGCTGTTAGGTGCAGTTAATGGTTCAATGTGAAGCTTTTTGTTGGAGGCTTTACGTGAAGCGGGAGTGGCTTTTGGGGTTGACTGAGCTGGTGATTTTGGTGATCTTGGCTCATCTCCTTCAGTGGAAGGGCAGGACAGGAATGGGAGGGAGCTCGGGAGGCCCCGGGAGCTTACACCCAAAGCTTGAGTGTTCCACATCACGTTGTGCCTTATTCCCCTACAAATCCACAGACAGAACAATGTCTGTTTTGTTTTGCTAGATATTTAATGCAAAATATATCAAATTAAATCAAAAACTTAGTCATTTATATTTCTAATATATCTTACCATAAGATGAGCTGTCGTAGGTCGCCTTCAAGAAGACCGATAAGAAAGGAAACATTATTTGGAAATCAAAGTGAATAAGTAGTGGAAAAGCAGTTGGAAGCTTCTGCAGTACACAACCATGGATGATGTAACACTGCAGCTCGGCTAACAATGCCCAACATATAAAGTTACTGACATCAATGGGAGGATTAACAGATGCCCTCACTAGCCAGGATGATTATAGCGTTTTTGAAGCAGTGTCATTCACTGTCACCGTCCTCTCCCTGGGGGGTTTCTCTGGGTTAAAATTGTTTTCTGAACGAGCACTTTTTATGGAAACTACAGGAAGAGGGTGTGTGACCTTATTTAATTATGAAATTATGAAAAGATTCTGATGTTAGTTTGTGTTTAAATGCAAAAAACAAAGATTTCTAACCACATCAGATAAATTTAACTCCTGTTTTTTATTTCTTCTAATTGTGAGAAGACCAAAATCTCATATAAATACTCACCAGCAGAGCACCGGCTCCGGGTTTTGGGCTGTGGCATATCCACCAGGCTGCTGACGTCATCAAGCAGCGCCATTGTGACTCTTGATACTTTCTCCCTCAGGTTGCCATAGACAGAACTGCCCACCCTGTGCAGGAGGCCCCTCCTCAACCCATCCAAACTCTGCACGAGAGCTAAATTTTTCTGTGCCAAATTGCCTCCTCGCTCGCCTCCACCCGAACGTGACAAAGCCTGCAGCAGCAAGCTTTGCATGGAGTTTGCCTCCGTCTCGGTGGCTACCATTTCATCCACGGATGCATTTCCGTACAACCCATTCTGTCTCATGGCCTCAGGGGGCAAGCTGAAGGGCTTTAAACGTCCGAATGCATTCGAGCCCTTGCTGTGTTCAGCAGCTTCCCCTGCTGGGTGCAAACTAACCACAGGCTTCCAGCTGCGTGTTTCTAGGAACTGCAGCAGCTGCTGAAGCCAGCTGACACTAAAGGCACAGTCAGTGCGACCCTTCAGTGCACAGATGAAGCTTTGTAGGCCTGCACTGGCCTGACCGTAGGTCCCGCTGACGAGAGCCTGAAGAGCAGCTTCCAGCACAGCACTCACTGTCCTCCAGTTTTGAGCTATGAAAGTCAAGAAGGGCCTGTGAGACTGACGCTCTGATAGAGTGATGAGGCTCTGCAGCAGGCCTAGGAGCCAGTCCCAGTGTGGGCTACCTCTGAGGGACAGAAACCAGTCCTGCACTCTAACGCTGGGCCGGGGTGGCACCCGGCCGTTCCACTGATTCTGGGCAGCGTTTCCTTCAGACTGCAGGAAATAATGCAGCACTTTCTCCCAAAGCTGCTCCTCGTCTGGCTCTGCCGGCTCCTCCTCCAACTCAGCACCCATCTCCTGAAGGTACATGGAGATGTTGTAGAGGAAGCCAGAGAGACGATGTCTGTTAATTGGCTTGTTTAAAGAAGGCATATTCCTGCTGGGAAGTAGACCAAGCGTTTTTAAGCCCCCCACGATATTCCTCATCCAAGTGGGCACAGACTGATCCTTGGTGTTTGTCTCAGTGGGAGCTCTCTGTGGATTTGCACCACCTCCTTTACTCCACTCTGAAATGATCTCCTTCAGAATGGCGTATTTCTGGTCTTCCTTGCCACCTCCTATAAAATAGCATCAGAGATAGCTTGAGCTAGCATTGTGTAATAAACAGATAGTAACCAAATACATTAAAAAGTGGATTTGGTAGCATGTTTTGGTGGCCTACTCACCTGTCTTCTCAGGTGCTCCTTGTCTGAGTAAAACAGCACAAACGATGATGCTTGTGAATTTAAGAGCAGCCATCTCCGACCTTTTCATAGCCATCTTCATCTCGTGCCAGCCCACACCGCGACTCGTTGGTGTCACATGTTTCTCTATAGACTGAGTCTGCTATTGATTTCACAAAACCCTCATTGAAATGCTTTTTCATTTTAGGTGATGGGGTTGGACTTAAGGAGTAAAGTGTCTCAGTGGAAAGGGGATATTAAACCTTAATGCCTGGCTACCACATCACCTTACCATCATGGCTGCTAAAACAAGGATCAGTAATGTAATTAAGTCTTACAAATGTTGGGGCTGAAAATTTAAAGGGTCCACATTTTACACTGAATGGAGATCTAAAGACTGTTAAATAGGATTCTTATATTCACACTTCAGTACATCCTTAGAATACCAGGATACATCTGTTTCATTAAAACTGTGCTTTTGAATGATAATTATACTAAAGACAAAAAGAAGAGAACTTATTTTCTGAACTTACCGCAGTTCCTATGCGTTCATGCCTGTAAGTATCCTCTGAAGTGTTTGTCTAACACCTCCTCACACTGAGCCGCTCTGCACTGACCTCTTCCTGAGTGCCACTCTCTATTTCACCATCGCTTGGACTTTCTCTACCTTTCACTCTCCTTCCCCACCCCTCCCCCCAGTGTCCTCTATCACTCTGTTATTTTAACCATTTGTGGCACCTGTTTTTTTCTTTGTCTCTGGGGTTCAGATTGATGCTTGGATTAGTATTTCATGGTGTTAGTTGTGTGGATTGTTTTTTTTTTGTGTGTGTGTCTTCATTTGACTGTGCAGATAATGGGCATGGCAAAGTGGTTACTTTGAAATAAGGCATCACATGTCTCAGTCTTGTTGGTCATCACTAGTGCATACCCATGTTTTAGGTGCTCCCAGTATATTTTGAAGCACCTCGAGGCTACAGGAAGGTCACAGCATTCAGCAAGGTGCTCAAAGAACATGAAAATCTGGATCATGTTAATCACACCCAGGATATCTATCCCCTGACTGTCCCATGTCCCCCTGCTGCTTAATTCTCCATTGAGCTGAGACTCATCTTGTGACACAGGGTTTGTTGGGGGTGTAGTCTTACCAGCAGTGCCAGACCAGCAGGACTGTGCAGGCTGTCAGTGTTTGGACACATTTATCCCTCAGTCAGGCAAACTTACAATTGAGCCCTGTGCAAGGGGACGGGAGCAGGCTCCCCAGAGTCAGACCACTGTCTGCAGGCGCTGAAACCCTAGAGGGTTGAGTGAAAGGACCATCCCCTCCCTCCACTTGCTTTAGCTGTATTATACTGTGGCCTGCACCGGGACAATAACTTCCTCCTGTATTATTGATGCAGCGGGGAACAGCGATCACTCAGCGCAGCGGGGCTCGATTCACCACGGGAATAGGCAATGAGAAACTGGATCTGCCACATACGTTCCTCCTCTCTCTGCTGGAAACTCAGTCATGGCGGAGGGAAATCATCTGATGAAAGTAGCAGTTGAGATTGGAATATTTGATTTGAGTCAACTTTTTGACCTCATATTCCTACATGAGGCCAAAAGCTTGCAATTAGTCAAAATATAAAAGTAATATATTTAAATTGCAGCTTGTGTTATGTTTGATTGTTTTTGCTGTTTTCTGTGTCTTAAAATGGTGAGAACAAGCAGCAACATCCAGGAAAGAGAAACAATGGACCTGTGTTGTGCCAAAAAGTGGTTTTGAGTTATTTACCAGATTTTTTAAACTGTTGTAAATGAGTTGTTGGCCTATACTTAGTCTAAAATATGCCAAATGAATGACATCAAGTACTTTTGAACCAGAAAGAAAATTTCTGTCACAAGGCAGAAGCAACAATCAGTTTTTAGCAAACTGTTTTTTTTTATACTTTATTTATCAAGGTATAGTACTTTGTGCTTGTTTGATCTTGTTTGATCTAAAATATGGTTACACAAGTTCAAAAAATATGCAAAAAAACCCAAAACATATACACGTTTTACACTTATCCATTT